GATTTTTTACCGGCTTCGGTATCAAGGTAATGGTGGCTTCTAATGCAGAACGGGGAATACAGACCGACAGGTTTCGAGCATTGAATGCGTCAATAAAGGGTTGTGCTAGAATTGGTGCCATTAATTTGTAATATTTCCCGGTGTAACCGTCTGGGCCCGGGCTTTTGCCTATAGGGATGGTCTTAATAACTTGGAGGAATTCGTCCACTGTGATAGGGTCATCTAGGAACGCCATGTCATTGGGAGGGAGGGTGCGCTTCATTCTGGGTGCTAGGAAATCTATTATGTCTTGGGGTGTAGGTGTGGCCGATTTCAGGTTGCATAGTTCGGTGTAGAATTTATGAAATGCTCCCATTATGTCTGGCATGTGGTGGGTTTTCCTGCCTGTTTCAGCTCTAATTTCAGAGATGAAGGTAGATTGTCGTTCTTTCTGTAATGACTGTGCTAGGAGTTTCCCTGCCTTGCCTCCCTGCATATAGTAGGTCAGTGGCGTACATACCAGGGTCGCAGGGGTCGCGACTGCGACCGGGCCCGGCCCACCAGGGGGCCCGGCCGCCCCTGCGACCCGGTATGTACGCCCAGGGCCAGCCTCTTCCCCTGGGGGGCCCAGGAGCCGACCACTCCAGGGACCCCCCGAGGCTGGCCCTGCTGACCCCGGGTGGCCGGTCGGGCAGGCAGGCGGGCGCGCGAGGGAGCACTCACTGCTTCCTCTTCAGCTCCCTCGCGCACCGCAATGATACCGGAGCCGGAAGATTACGTCATCTTCCGGCGCCGGCATCCCTACGCGGCGCGCGGGGGGGGGGGCTGAAGAGGAAGCACTGAGTTCTCCCTCGCGCGCCCACCTGCCTGCCCGACCAGCCACCCGCCCAGGAGCCCAGCAGCACCACTGGACCCCAGGGAATCCCCCCAGCAATCCAAAAGGTAAGGAGGCTTGGGGGGATTATATTAAAAAAAAAAAAAATCATGTGTGAGTGTTAGTGTGTGTGTGTGTGTGAGTGTTAGTGTGTGTGAGTGTTAGAGTGAGTGTTAGTGTGTGTTAGTGTTAGTGTGTGTGAGTGTTAGTGTGTGTGAGTGTTAGAGTGAGTGTTAGTGCGTGTGTTAGTGTGTGTGAGTGTTAGTGTGAGTGTTAGAGTGAGTGTTAGTGTGTGTGTGAGTGTTAGAGTGAATGTTAGTGTGTGTCTGCTAGTGAGTGTTAGTGTGAGTGTTAGTGTGTTAGTGTGTGTGTCTGCTAGTGAGTGTCAGTGAGTGTGTTACTGTGTGTGTCTTACTGAGTGTGTGTGTGTTAGTGAGTCTGTTTGATGTCTGTTAGTGAGTGTGTGTTTGTCAATGAGAGTGTATGTTTTGTAAGTGAGTGTGTATGTATGTCTGTCGCTGACTGTATCTCTGTCAGTAAATGTGTGTGTCTGTTAGCTAGTGTGTATGCGACTGTAAGTGTGTGTGTGTGTGTGTCTTCAGCACTTACCTTTCTCCAGCTCCGGACTCCCTCAGCCTCTCAGCTCCGAATGCGACCGCGCACGCATTCAAACCGCCCATAGGAAAGCATTTCTCAATGCTTTCCTATGGACGTTCAGTGTGCTCCTCTAGCGGCTGTCCGTGAGACAGCCACTAGAGGCTGGATTAACCCTCAGTGAAACTCTGAAACTGCTATGTTTTCAGCTGCAGGGTTAAAACTAGAGGGACCTGACACCCAGACAACTTCATTGAGCTGATGTGATCTGGGTGTCTGTAGTGGTCCTTTAAAGGACCACTATAGTGCCAGGAAAACATACTCGTTTTCCTGGCACTATAGTGCCCTGAGGGTGCCCCCACCCTCAGGGACCCCCTCCCGCCCGGCTCTGGAAAGGGGTAAAACTTACCTTTTTCCACCGCTGGGCGGAGAGCTCTCCTCCTCCGATCCTCCTCTTCTCCTCCCCGTCAGCTGTATGCGCACGCGCAAGAGCTGTGCGCATTCAGCCGGTCACATAGGAAAGCATTCATAATGCTTTCCTATGGACGCTGGCGTGCTCTCACTGTGAAAATCACAGTGAGAAGCACGCAAGCGCCTCTAGCGGCTGTCAATGGGACAGCCACTAGAGGAAATAGGGGAAGGCTTAACCCATTCATAAACACAGCAGTTTCTCTGAAAAAATGGGTTAACCCTAGCTCGACCTGGCACCCAGACCACTTCATTAAGCTGAAGTGGTCTGGGTGCCTAGAGTGGTCCTTTAAGTGTGTGTGCATCTGCATGCACTGGCGTACATACCGCGGTCGCAGGGGTCGCAGCCCTGTAACCCCTGCGACCAGGTGCCCACCGCCATGTGTTGCGGCCCGGCCCGCGCGGGGGGGGGGGGCCCACGGATCAATTTTCGCACCGGGGCCCCATGGGTCATGTGTACGCCACTGTAGTAGGTGCTTTTTATAAGTGACATTTTCCGTTTGGCATTGAGGGTCAATGTCGCATTTAGTTCAGTCCGTTTAGCGAGTAGCGGGGTATAGTCTTCCAGTGTGGATGTGTCATGATGTTTACGTTCTAGGGTTTTGATTTCCTTAGTGAGTCGGGTGATAGACCGTTCCCTCTTACGTTTCAAATGGGACGCTATTCGGATGAGTTCCCCTCTGAGGACTGCTTTGTGGGCTTCCCAAGTCATTATGGGAGAAGTGTCCGGGTTGGTGTTTTCTCTAAAGTAGTTAGAGGACGTCTCCCTTATTTGTGCAAGGGTATCAGGGGCGTTTAAGATCAGGTCATTTAGCTTCCATTGTGCGGAGGGATTGGGTAGGGATGGTATGGTCAATGTGAGAGTGAGTGGAGCTTGGTCAGACCACGTGATTGGTCCATATGAGGACGTCTGTATCAGGGGCAGGTGTTGAAGGAAGAAAGAGTCTATACGGGAGTAAGTTCCCGTAGGGGGTGAGAAGAAAGAGTAATCCTTCTTCGTAGGGTGAATTGCTCTCCAACCGTCATAGAGTTGAGCGTCGTAAAGAATGTGTTTCATCTGCAATCTTGATTGGGATTGGTATTTGTGAGAGGTAGTAGTAGAGTCTAGGGCCCCGTCTAGAGAGGTGTTAATATCTCCACCCAGGATAATTATTCCTTCCTGAAATAGCGATAGTTTACTTAAAAATTTTTTGAGGGTTTGGGATTGTTTCTTATTGGGTAAGTAGATGTTGGCCAGCGTGATTTGGGTGTTTCCTAACTTTCCTTTTACAAAAAGGAATCTGCCTGAGTCATCTAGTTGTTGGTCTTGGAAAGTGAATTGAGTTTGGCGATTAATAAGTATGGCTACCCCTCGTGCCTTTGCTTCTGAGTAATGGCTGAAGTACCCTCTTGGGAAGTCCCTGTTTTGCAGTTTAGGAGGTGTATTTTTACGGAAGTGTGTTTCTTGCACAAAAACGATATGTGCTTTGTGCCTACTGAAGTCTGTTAGGGCCATAGATCTCTTCTCTGGGGTATTGAGGCCCCTGGCATTTTGCGTGAGGAGTGTTATGGTGGCCATCTCTATAAAGTAATATGAGATTTGTCGAGAGATGGAAAGTCAATAGAGAGTGTGCTTGCCGTACCGTATCAGGTGTGGCCTCTGGGTGTACTGTACTATATGCAGTATCTCTGCACATATGTAAAGTGTCAGTGGATCAGTGTATGTCTTGTGCAGGTTTAAATTACCTTGTCTCGAGTTTAGCCTGTGTGTGGTGAGGAGGGGAGGAGGAGATGGCCTGCCTGGATAATTCAGGGAGGCCTATCCCGCTGCAGGAGCCCCCGTCTGGGAGGAGTAACGGGGTTGGTGGTTGGAAGCTCACTGGCTTATAGTCGTGTGAGGTAGGTGATTCTTGGTCGGTATAGTCTGAACCTTGCGAGAAAACAGTATAAAACACAAAATGTTTGCAGTTAGAAAGTCAAAACAGTAGACAATAACAATCGTTATAATACAATGACAAAAATCTCTTGGCCCTCGGTGAGTACCTCCTCGTCGGTTCTTGTGTGACTAGGTTAGTGTGGCTCAAGAGCTAGTGTCTCTCTGTGTCCCTGCTTCTCCACCTGCCCCGTGGAACAGGTGGAAGATCGGTTGTGTATAACCGGAATGGGGCTATGCCCCGTGTAGTACCCACACGTAGGTGGGTGTAATATCGTCCCGGAAGGGGAGTCTGGTTCTATCTCGGCGCAAGAGATAAAACCAAATATAAAGTGGGGTTGTGTGGTCTTGGAATGCGCCTGAGACCCGGGACTTATTAATCCTAATAGATTAAGAACTCGTTAGGAAAACTCGTTTGTGTAACCAAATATAGGTATCTAGTTGATGGGGAAAAGGAAAGGATGCAACTTGTGTCTTGTCCTTTTTTTCCCCCCTGTAATATATGAAATGAGACGTGGAACAGCACCTTCTGAGGACGGCTTCTGGGTCGTGGGGTCAGATCTTGTAAGTTAGGATGGGCCTAGCATGTAATGTGTCCTAGTGGGGTGCATGTAGCTATTGACCTCGGCTGCATTCGGCTCGTTACTGTCGACCTTTGTAACCCTGATTTATTAGAAGGGGGTAACCCTACCCTCGTGTCTTAGGTGTAGGTTGATGTGCGTCTGGTGTTGTTGTTTCTTAGAGGCTAATTATAACTTAGAGAAAAAATGTAAAGCAGTAGTATAGGTAGGTTAGTAATCAATATGAATCTTATCTATGGCTAGAGTGAAAGAAACGTCCCACCAGTAGCAAGGTACATAGTTTTAGAGGGAGCATACTTGCCCTCCCAACAGGTAGTGAGTATGGAATGATGTCCTTTGCCTGGTGTTGGGGTCTATGGAGATATGAGCATCAGTCCCTGGTATCCTGTGGTGTTTTGAGGCCGCTTTCCCATTCAGCCATCTCTTGGATCAAAGGACTCTCATTATCTGTTGGCATCAGAAGGACTTGTGAGTAATCTGAGAAAGGAAGGAAATATAAAGGTCCTCTGAAGACTTCATCCGGGTTTAGGCTCTGTCCTTGTAGTAAGTCTTTGTGTCCGTGTGTTAGGGTGCTCGGTCTAGGGAGAGCATCTTAGTCGTCAGTGGCAGTTCGCTTGCGGGCGGGGGTGCTGGGCTGTCTCCCCCGTCTTGCCTGTGGTGAGGTGAACCTGGTGTCATTTCTTCTCATTTTCGCAGGAGTAACCCATTTCTGTCGTTGGCACATTTGTACGTTGTCCTGGTGAGGTATCGGGTAGTTCCAGTCTGTTATTCTCGTGTCTGGAAGCTCCAGAGCCCGAAGGAAGGGAGGGACATCTAGAATAGAGGCTATTTGGATGATGTTGCCCTTATAGTTCACTATCAGGGCAAAGGGGAAACTACAGCGATATTTAATGCTCCTGTTGCGTAGAAGCTCAGTAATAGGCTTGAGAGCTCGTCTGGCCTGTAGGGTGTACCAGGAGAGGTCGGGGTAAATCTGTATGGGATTACCATGATATAGTAGTGGCTGTGAGGTGTCCCTTAGTGCTCTCATTACCCCGTTCTTTGTTTCAAAATAATGAAATCTACATGATGTCTCTTGGAGAGTCTTGGGAGATACCCTTGGGACGCAAGGAGCGATGTTCCCTGTCCAGTAGCAGGAGGTTGGCAGGAATGTCTTGTACCAATAGGCCAAAGAGCTCTGTTAAGATTAAAGTTAGGTCTTCATTCGGGGTCTCTGGCACCCCCCTTATGCGCAGATTATTTATGCGCCCCCTATTATCAAGATCATCAATATGCCTCTGGGTGGCAGACATGAATTGTATGTGAGAGTCTAATGTGGTGGAAATGTTAGTTATTTGTGCCTGCATAAGGTCTTTTTCTTCTTCCAAATCACCCACCTTCAGATCAAGCTGCTGAATTTCAGTTCCCATTTCCGCCATCTTGGAATGCAGTGAGGATTCTAATTTGTGGATCATGCGTTCCATGTCCGTTTTCAACGGTAAATTTCTCAATAGATCTCTGATGTCCAAGACTGGGTTGATCTCCAATGATTTCAGAGAGCACTCCGAGAGTTGTGGGCTTAGTGGTTGGGAATCCGCCAAGAGGTCTGTTCCCGCCATCTTGGAGGTCGCGGCCGCGGCCTCCATGTCTCGCTCGGTGCTATCTCTCAGGAAACGGGTGAGTGTCCCCGATTTGACCGTTGGGGTTTTCCCCTGGGTCCCCTGCATCTGCTGATGCTTTTTCTGGTTACCCATGTTCCGCGTAGGTCTCCGATTGCGGTGGATTGTGCCCGGGTCCGGAGGAGAGGAATTAGAACATGTCCGCCTCGCTCTGCGGTCAGCCACGCCCCCGTGAGGGTGTTTTTATCTGCTGTCACATTCTAGGTTTCTAATTTTCTTTGTCTGTTAACTCACTGAGGGTTATTTTATATATATATGTGTGTGTGCTGGATATGTGTGGGAGTGTGCTGTGTGTGTGAGTGAGGGTGCTGTGTGTGTTTGGGGGTGCTGTGTGTGTCTGGGGGTGCTGTGTGTGTCTGGGGGGTGCTGTGTGTGTGTCTGGGTGCTGTGTGTGTCTGGGGGTTTTGTGTGTGTCTGGGTGCTGTGTCTGGGGGTGCTGTGTGTGTCTGGGAGTGCTGTGTGGGGGTGCTGTGTGTGTCTGGGTGCTGTGTGTGTGTCTGGGGGTGCTGTGTGTGTCTGGGAGTGCTGTGTGGGGTGCTGTGTGTGTCTGGGGGTGCTGTGTGTGTGTCTGGGGGTGCTGTGTGTGTCTGGGGGGTGCTGTGTGTGTCTGAGGGGTGCTGTGTCTGGGTGCTGTGTGTGTGAGTGAATGTATTTTTTATTTAAATTTAAATATATATTTTTTATTAATAATAAAAAAAAAAATATATATCCCCCCCCTCCCTTCTTACCTTTAGGTGGGGGTGGGGTGGAGATCTGTTCTGCCTGGGAGGGGAGGGGGACCGTGCTGCTGCCTTCCCTGGTGGTCCAGTGGTGAGAGTGAACTCTAACCTGCAGGTTAGAGTTCACTCTCACGAGATCTGAGCGTTGCTGTGGGAACCGCGGCAATGCTCAGAATCCCGCGAGAGGACCCGGCGGAGCTGCTGGTTAGAGCTCCGCAAGGTCCTCTCTCCTCCCTCCCTCCCTCCCCATCCTGTGGCCGCCTGTGACACTGCCTCTGGGCTGGTGAGGGAGATCTTTGATCTCCCCACCGGCCCACGGAGGCACTATGCAGGGCCGGCGCTCGGATAGCGCTGGCCCTGCAGGGGCCGGCCGGGGAGATCCCCTGCCGGCCTCGGCCCCACGGCCATGGCGGCGCACCGGGTATTTGCCCGGTGTGCCCGATGGCCAGTCCGGGCCTGGGTGGGAGTAGACATATGGGGGGCCCCAGGGCAATTTTTGCACTGTGGCCCCGTGGTTTCTAGTTACGCCTCTGACCACTACAGTTTGTTTTGTTCTGTTTATGGTGATTGGATTGATTATTTTAAGCCAGTGGTTTTTGTAAGATTTCAAAGATTTTTGTAAAACTAGTATTTTACATATCACTGAAACAGAACTCTAAACCTGCATATTATTTTTCCTACAAAGATCAAAATTAATTATTTAGTTTTGTCAGCTTTATAGAATATTCTATACTTTTTTCACATGGGACATAAACTATAGACTAAAAGGAAACCGTTCTTTGGACTGATCGTATTTTGTCTTCAGTGAGAACTTTTAAATTAGTTACATTTCAGAAAATCACCTATATTCTATATGTGTATATATAAATATAATCTTCAGTGCAGCTCCTATTGTTTTGCCGTTTCCATAGTATATAGGGCCTTTGTTCAACATTATTGATAGGGGTTTGTAAATGACTGAAAGGAAATGTGTTGAGGTAATGTCCTTTTTAGCATTTTGTGGATTGCCAAGCATTTCTATCCCCTAGAGGATATAAAATTCAGCAACTGAGGTAATTCTGCCACAATTATCATAATACCTATTGAATATGCTTTGTGTGTCAGATATGATCTATAAACCACCCTATATTTGAATAATATCCAATTCACCTTATCTGTTATATTCTAAATAGCGGTCTAGTGCAAACTACTTAGAATTTTTATGTAAGTGATAGGACTATACACTGTGTTTCTGAAGATTATATTTTGACTCATGATTAGTGACATTATCGTGTTAATTGTACAATGATGCAAAGTTAGGGACCAAGCTTAAGGTTATACTCTTAATAACGTAATGCATTTAATCTACAGGGATTTCTAGATAATGACCATGTTTCAAGCTTGAATATTCTTTCACATTAGTCCAGTGTGATTAGAAGTATAATGAGCCAACTTGAGGGCTGTAAAAGCATTATCCTTAGGGGATTGATTCGTCAGCAGTGTCTTGCAGCAGTTTTTTGGCTATGAATAGTGTTCATCACTAACACTGAGGAAAGGTGACAAAAGCAGACGAAAACAAAACATTTTCTTTACAAGTAGACATTCATTAAAACACTGCAACATTCCTTTTTCTCAACTCCTGAATGTCACAATGAGGAATCCCTGTTTAAAAATTAAGAAAACACTAAAAATCATGTCTTGCATTGGACTCTCTGGTTGGGATAATATAACAAGACTTTAATACAGATCTTGGTAACGCAGATACAGATGTATAAATTCACGTAAGAACAAACCAGCTAGGTGCATTTATGGGATAAAGAGTTGGCTGTCAACTGATTTCTCATCAATTTTCTTGAACCATGTGTCACAAGTATTGCTTACTAGTCTACCAAGAGACTGTATAAACCTAGTCCAGCCTCTAATTTGTGTTGGATAAATGTAGCACTTTAAGTGGAACTGGCATCACATTTAGTTTTCATGCCCTGCCTTGACATGCATGTCTGTCTTTTCTAATTGTAGTGTTTTCTTTGTCTTCTTTTTTATATCTGGTTTATGGTCTATACTTTGTGTTCTTTCTCATTTCTTGTACTTGTTTTCCTCCCTATTTTCCTTTGTCCTGCTCTTTATGTCTAATAAAGAAAGAATTTAAACTTCTACCTCTCTGGGCATCATACCATCTAACTACTGAAATATATTCATTCCTTCTTGTTTGGAACCTTCCTTCATTTTTATATAGTTATACAATCCAGTCAACAGCACTCCAATATAATGCTATACTGTTCTTACTTAAGATCCCATATAGTATCAGTAGAAAATGCATTGACAATATTACTGGAAAGTGCCGTTCTTTATTTATTACTTTGCTAACATTCTGTTATTGGTGATTCCCATGAACTGTTTCAGGCAATGTTAATCTCAAGAAATCAATACAGAGATTCCTAGTCATCTGTGCACCATGGTCTCTTCTTTTTTTTCTGACATAAAAAGCTCCCCAGAAAACAATACTGCTTTACGTACCTTTTTTTTTATTATGTTCCTAACAAAGATAAGATTTTCGATCACATGAATCACTTAAGTGTATGAGGGTATCGTTATATGTAATGGCCATGAGTTTAAAAATTTGCCATCACATTAAGGTACATTATTATTGGCAAGTCCTCACACTAACTCTAAACTAATAAAAGCATAATTAAATAAACACCTAGGAGGAGAACATGAAGCATCTTACCTGAGGCAGACTTAGGGCAGACTGGACAAATAATGGAGTAGGGTAGCTGGTTCAATACGGAAATTCTAGTCAAATATCTGTGTTTAGGTCAAAACATTGCCACTTATCTTTTAAAGCTCGATAAAGAAAAAACTTTTCTACACACAAGATTATATGCAGCTTGAAGGGAACAGGCTGACAATGGAACATCAGACATGGACTTGAACACAAGAAACCCGATGCAAGCAAGAGCATAAAAAGGGCTTTTGCTGGAACCTTAAAGACAGACCCAAAGAATATTATTATTATTATTGTTATTTTATACAAAGCGCCAATAAATTCCATACAATAGGTGGACTAATAGACATGTATGCTGTATGATGGACGCATAGGAACAGAGGGTCTTGAGGGCACTGCTCAAGTTAGCTTAAATTCTAGAGGGAGTGGGGTAAAGTGGCACAAGAGGTAAGGGTAGGATGTATTTCATGTACTGGGAAAAAACTGGTTACTAGAATAGGTTACAGTGAATGATTAGTTTATTGAATGAAACCGTTGCAGGAGAGTGTGACAAACTCCCCTTTCCTAGTGAGTTTGCCACGAGTTCCTGGAGGAGCCTGCTTGCCACCCTACTGCCCACAGACTATGGACCCTGTAAAATGTGATTTAAAAGTCTTGGTTCGTGTATTTGTACCATATGGTTAGGGAATCGAACAGCCGCACGAACTGGAGACCACCCTGGAGCTTGTTAAGCCTAATTGATACTTTGTAGCAATTTCCAATGCAGTGTTCTAAGTGTTCGTCTGGGTGGCCGCATTTCCTATGGACGACCACGAGGTGGCGGCCATCTTGTTTGCATGAAACCAGGCAGCGGTGTTTGGTCGTCGAGTTCATGGAACTATTTTCGGACACTGAAACTCCCGAACACCGCTGGACTTCCATGATCACCAGCATTCGGTTCAACAACACTTAGAAAGACACTGTTCAGTCTAAACATTCCCACGAACAAGGGGAACAAGGTCCAGGGTAAAACTATTGACTATATTCAGTAGTTTGTTCATTTTTAAACTACCAAACTAGACTGACCTGATTCTCTGGAACTATTTTGGGCATTGAACCATGCGTGCAGTTGGTCAAACAAATGGCTTCCAGGAAATTCTTGAACCCCTGAACTGATCTTGGGGATTTTTGGATATGTTGGTCACCCAGATCAGGGCTATAAGGGGAAGCATTTTTATGGGATTTTAGGGTACTTTTGGGGTGTTTGGAAAAAAGTGTGTTTTTTCTGTGTTTGGAGATAATTAGATTAGATTAGTACAGTTCCTGATCCAATTATCTCCCAGGTACAGAGGAGGGATTATCTGATTAAGTATGGGAGTGTCCTG